CTCTTCTCAAAACGTTTCCAGTTTATTCATTACAGTTCAGACATGTTTACACTTCCACTTTAGAGAGATCTTCATTAAAAATATCACATCTCGGGCATCTTGACCTTCCAAGATAAAAGACCTTCAAAATGACTGCAGTTTGACAGTAAGTTTATTTTTAATAAGATAACTTTCAGAACCTTTTAGAGTTGAAGAGTTTATAGTAGACATAGTAGAAGACGTCAATAAATTACCGAGTTGCCAACAGAAGCACGTCTTTTAAATGTAATTACTGATGACTATGCATTTGATTTTAGATTTTTAGGATGTTTCATCAAAATACATAAATTTCTTGAATCACCTGCTCAAACCTGTCTGACAAAGTTCTTATTGCAAAAGCTCTAGATATGCCAGCTGATAAATGTCCATGTTTAGTTCAAATGGGCAAAACAAGTAAATGAGCTAACGGGGCGATCGCCGTATCGCGTGAATTACATGCCAACTAGACTATCCAGAATGGGTCTGCAAGCACTGTGTAAAAGCTCCTGTTGGTATCAGTGTTTTCTTCAGCTGGCCCTTTATTTGTGTCAAGGCGGGTACAAGGGTAGAGCGGAGGAGGGGCTTAGGAGTGGGTGGGTGGGCTTTACAAAGACATCTCAAGTTAGCTAGTGCACATTAAATAGATGCAAGCATGTAGGGTATACTGATTTCATTTTAATAGCACATCTCCACAAAAAAATAACGTGATCAGAGAATGTCCCTAAAATTAATGCACATTTCAATTGGTCTGCTTTTAGACTTTCCCTTCTTTGCTTACAGTCAAAATTAAGAACACAAATATTCCTTTTACATAAGCATGCATATTAACTGAATAAGACAAACATCCAGACAGATATCTAGTATAGATGTTACTTTTCAAAAGCCTTCCATCAGGCAATTAAGAATTCTGTATCCATTTGTTTCAGATAAATTGTAAGGGTATGCGATTTAACAATATTAAAGAGTCTGAGTTTGAGATGAGTGAATGTGGTCAATAAGATGCAGCTAGGTTGACCACTGCTCACCAAAAACAATAAAAACCAACTCTGGAAAAAAAAATTACTGCAGAGGACAAATCAGAGAGGACATAGCTTCAAATTTGTCCTTCTCAGCAGGCAGCCATACACAGAGAAATGTCTGCTGATTCTTAAAACATGCACCTTGAATCAGTTCCGAGAGCTTGTTTTACAAAACATCCACCAGAGGACATGGAGACTTGAGCATTGTTCTTATTATCAAAGTACCCATGGGAAGGGTACTCTCCAATAGGCCAATTCTGATATATTAAAATTCTAACTTGGCTCCGAGGCTTAGCAGAATAAAACAAAAGAAATTAATTATTCATCCCTCATCCTCAATGCGATTTCTTTTGTTTTATTCCCCTAAGCCTTGGAGGCAAGTTAGAATTTTAATATAGCGGAATTGGCCTATTTTAAACATTACTATACTGTCTGTGACCTTGGGGTAAGGCCCAATAATTATACAAACTACAAGTACAATTTCCTACAACTGATGATAACTAGTATTGTCAGGGGCTCTGTTTTGTACCTTATCGCAGGTCGAGAAATCAAATGGTCTGCGTCTGTGGTGGGGTGGGAGGGGTAGGGCAATAATCACAGGGGGAAGGAAGGGGAAGATGCCCCCTCCTCATTTTACCTCTGAATACCCTCTTTCTACCATCCAGTTTAAACATGGGCACAGGCTAAGGTTAGNGGGGGGGGAGAGATTTCCTTACCCTGCAAAATCAGGCTCAAGATTGATCAGTACACTTCTATGATCAACATAAAATTGCTACAGAATTCTGGTAAGAAACATCCACACTAACGATGTTTTCCACTTCCAGAACTACTCTCGCTGGCTCCTCATTCCTTGGGCACGGCTGTACTTTGTTCTTGTCCCTTGAATTGTTGCTCAGTTAAACGCCTATTGAATTCAACGGTCTCCTCTTGTAGCTTGTTTATTTCCTTCTGAAGCAAATCACTGTCCCGAACTAGCTGGAAGATACCAGTGGAGATTTCAAAGAGGCCCGAACATTGCAGCGCTAGGACCGTTCTATTAAAGCGGTCCAGTTTCGCAAAGCTTTCAGTTCCTTTTCTTTTCAAGCAATGTAAATTCCTGTCGCGATAGCGCCGAAGGTAAACGTGGCTGGACCTAAGCTTAGTTTCTTCTGATTCTTTGCATTTCCTTTTGTGCTGCTCTGGGGCGCCAGGTGGGGAATCTCCATTAATGTTGAGCGAGTCACCTTTCTGTAGCCACTCGCTACTTTTCGAATTTCCATTCACAGCCGCTTCATTCATGACATGGCAAGCCATGATAACATTAACATATCACCCAGCTGAAATTATAGTAACAGTAAAAATATGATTCATAATCAACGTTCACTGCCTATAAATATGTATCGCGATTATATTCTTGAGCTTGAATTGTGCTCCACATACCCGAGGAATTGAACATGATTGAAAGAAAGAAGAAAAACTCACTTCAAAATCTTGCTTTCTTCTGCCTGCGTTTCAGTTCTCTTCTGGTAAACATCGTGAATGATCCGATCAAAACACATCGATCGTCTGCACGAGATAACGTGAAAATGTTTTGTCGTGCGTGTGTGGCACGTGTTCATGTTACAAAATCGTCTTGAAGATCTTTGGTCAGCGGTTAGTACAGTGACCCAAGGCAATCTCAAGGTGGCCGAACACAGTTTTCAAGTGCCTGTATGCCTAATTCACCATTACTTTTAAATTATTTATGCTTTAACGCCCGTTTTTTGCAAGAGTCAAGGTTAACCACAAAAGGGTTTATTCTCGCATTTTGGCTGAGGTGTGTACTGTTGCCATGGCAACAGGGCTGGTTAAAAACAAGGCTCAAAAAATGTTTTTTGTTTATTTAAAAAAAATCCAGTCGTTAGATTTTTTTCATCATTTGCCCACTACGAATTGACATTACATCCCTTCTGTCAACACTGTTCTAATAAAATTTTGACTTAGAAGATTTTCGTAATTCGCCGTAAATCGTTTTCACTGCATGTTCTGTATTATTAAAAATTCCCTACATCAAAATTCAAATTTTTTGTGATAGATCATTCACGTGGCCTCTGAACCATTTTTTTTGCCAAATTTCTCGAAATTCTAACAACTGGATTGTTAGAAAACCGCAAGTTTCTGCAAAAGCAATCGGTCTCAATTTTTCGAGCAACTGCGCATGCGATGCATTTAACAAAGAAAAAGCTGAGAATTGCTGGGTTCTTTGCATCGTTACCTTTTCTAATATATCTCTGTGATAAAAGAATAAAGCCATCAATACACTGCGTTTAAATATAGAGAAAAATAGCACAGATAATGCGGGTGTTGAGTAAATGAAATGATCGCTGGATCGCTCTGTTGACGGCATATTTGTTTTTTGCAATCCTTGTGCGCGCGCTGAATTTAAACAATTACTGGAAATAAGCACGGTGGCGATCATTGTACTGTCTGGGGTTGATTTTAATGACAAATGAGTCCGCGCGACTTGTGCTGTGTGGCTACTGTGCTGCTCAAAGCCTTTGTTTTGCTTTTACAAGCACGTATTTCAGTGATTTTCCTTTTCTATAACAGATCAAGGGTGGCTCCTTAAATATATCTCTGAGTATTTGTATTTAAAAGTGCCATTTGTGCGTGATTATGCTTTCCAAATTTTGGTATTGACGGTTGAGTGAAATTGCCCGAAATTGTAGTAGTTCCTTCTGCAATTTTCGATTTCTGTTTTAGAGCTTCTTTCTGTCTTTATATTTAACTTCTCGGATGGTCTTTTCTACCATTTGCTCCGGGTAGCCTTTCGAGATCAGGCGTGTATTGAAATTTTCAATATTCTCTTCAATGTAAGTTTCACAATAAACCTCACGCAAGCAAAAGGGAGTTTATCGGTAAATTGCACCACTTATTTCACTGTTATTCAAACAAAAACTTACATTTTCCATGTATCAACATTGCCAAAATCCATTTGCGATAAAACAACAGCGAAAAAGCGTTGATCTGTCCCCAAAACCATGTTTTTGGGCGTCGAAACAACTTTTCGCCATACTTTTCCTTCTAGAAACTTGCTATGTTTGCCCCCTAACGATCCCAGAGTTCTTTGCGCAAACACGGGTATCCGATTACTGGCAACTCATTCGTTGTATTTCTCATACATATATAAACCTCGGGACTTGCGACTCAGACCACAGGCAGACCACTCTATGTGTTCGGTAAAACAAGACAGTCTCCGGTCAAAAGAAATTTCCTAAAAAGACCCTTCAGACGGCCCAGGAAGGCCAAGAAACACCATACGTGAGTCGATTAACGTTTCATTTAACTTTATTGGGATATTCAGACCGAGATGTAATTTAGATATGCAATTTTCAGAGTTCTGTTCATAACCCTCATAGATTCTGTTCCTTTAATATAAACAATTTTTAACCACGAACACACAGAGTGGTCTGTCTGTGTGTGCTCAGACATGTCTGAGACAACGACGTGCTCGCGAATTTAAATAATTTAGTTGAACTGGGTAAATAAAAAGTCGAAATTTGGAAAAACTCTTGAATTGGAGAAGCCTAAGTAAAATAGGCCAATTCCGATATATTAAAATTGTAACTTGGCTCCGAGGCTTAGGGGGATAAAACAAAAGAGATAAATTATTCATCCCTCATCCTCGATGCCATTTCTTTCGTTTTATTCCCCTAAGCCTCGAAGCCAAGTTAGAATTTTAATATATCGGAATTGGCCTATTGGCTCATAGCTTAACTGCTTGGAACTTAATTGCAGTGTCTAAAATGTACGAAACGTCGTATTGTAGCAAGGGCATTGCGTTGTTGTAGTCATGGGATTGTGTAACAGAAGGAAAGCCTGTCTGGCATTTATGAATAATATTAAAATATTCTAATTTTGTAACTGTTTTGATAAGTCTCGAATAGCAAGCATTAAGCGAGAATAACTGGTACTAACCTGTGAAAGACTTGCAATTTTCTACTGTTGTCATGACAACAGACCATCGCTTCGTGCAGCAGTCAGTTTCTCAACCGGTCATAGCTTCAAAAATTGTAAAATTTTTATTTCAACTCGAAAAACCTTTAGGCTCCTTCGACGTACACAAAATTTCTCCGCCAAAGTTTGTATACAGTTCACTGTCAATTCGATTTGTCTAGATCTACAGATCGTATCAGATCGCACGTATTCAGAAAACGCTCATCCATCATTAATTACTCCAGTTTATTTACATTTCTTTTTTGGATAACAGCTGCCAAATAAGCGTTACAATAATTGTCTCTTGACTTTTAAAAAAAGCCTAATTTATCTACTGCCTTAGGTGTGCATTTTGGACAGCAATCAAGCGAATTTTTTTCCTTAAATGTTGAAATGTCGAAGAAAAGGTTGCTTTGGTTGCTGGTCGTAATCTCTGGACGCTTTGCATACCAAGGTTGAAACCTGATAAGCAGGTTTTAGAGGAGCGCGCGAGAAAGTCGCGCCAACAATACAAAAGTGCGAAATTTATTCAAAGCCGCGCGTTTACGTTCGAAATGGCGAAGAGCGTCAGGTCTCTGAGATCAAAACTTCTTTTTAACGGAGGATCGCCAAATAGTATTCGTTCGTTAGTATTCTTAACAAGAAGCAGTAGTCATAGTGTCGCTGAGGTTTCAACAACAGCGACAATTTCTCCCGAGAGGGATCAAATCGCCGCTAGTTCGGAGCAACCGCTCCGTAGTCTCAGCTTCAACGACGGGAGAAATGCGTTCCGATCCAAAACGACTTGGGAAATAATTCGAGCATTAGCCATCTTTAGACTATGCTCCTTCGACTTTCTGGTGAACAGAAACAAAGAGGTTAGTAAATGCTATTTTAAGAGTTTGTACCACCAGTGAATGTCGCACCGAACGTTTCTTTTTATAAACAATTTACGAACTCTTGAATGCGTATGTCTTGACAGCTCGTTACGTAAGACTTATGAAAGTTGATGATTCATATTCAGGGAAAAATATTTTTAATCCCATGGTTTGGGACACATTTTCACAAACTGAAAGACAGTAATCGTTGTCTATTGTAATCTTGCCGATACATATCGTACTGAGCTCATGTTTGAACCAGGAAATACTAGTAAGCTTGCGGCGTCTGTAACGCTTGTTATATTTAATTTGTTTAGGCAATTGTTTACAAACTTTCAGACATGCTTTACGCTTGTCAATTCATTTCACGGCACAGAATAATGAAGTTGTTAGAATTTTTAAACGCGTTGCCTTCTTCTTCACACGCATAGACCAAACAAAATTGATTTCCGCTACGTAACACTTGCTTTGACTCATCAATTACGAAACAACTTGTACTGGCATAAAATGACTGTAAATCACGTGAAAGTAGTCTTTCGTTCTGCATCGATCGATGCGATCGGTTGCAAAGACAAAATTCACCGATATATCATCACAAAGCTTGTTCTCTTCGTCGTTGGGAGATTGGTGGTACAAGGTCAAGAAAATTAACTTCAGTTTTCGTGATGTAAATCAAAGGCAAGTGCCAAACTGTGGCACAATTTACATTTAGTTGTTTACCTCGAATTTTGCAATTTCGCAGTTGTCTCGATTTCTTCAACACGTCTATCGCTCTAAAAACTTGTTCAGGCTAAATATGTAATGACAGCGTTTAATTCCAAATGAAAATACGAAAAATTAGCCGCCGTCGTTCGCGGTCATCAGAATTCGCCGATCAACTTGCTCATTTCACGTTGTTGTTTTGCAGAGGACGGAACGCACGTGCATAGCTATTGTCCTGCTAATTTTAAAAACGTTTTGTTTGGTGGCATTCTCGTTGCCGTCGTCGTCGTGGTTGGCTTAAGCTCCCTAATTGTGTCAATTTACAATCCTCTTCGCGAAAGATATCTTACACACAAGGCCATATTTTCCTCGTATTTTCTTTGTTTATGCGAACGTCGTATATACACATGTATACATATCCTCGAAACGATAAATTACGCACAATATCTTAACGAAGTTTAATAATAAATTTTTTATGGTCCTTACATCTCTTGAGATCGCGCAAGAATTTTAAATGAGATTCCTTCAGCAAAAGAAGTCTGATTTCAATATGCTCTTGGTTTCGTTTTCTGAAAATAGCATCTTTCTACTCAAGTCTATATAAGAACATGTACAGACACACCCCCAGACATTATCATGGTCTCTTCACCCACATGATAAAGCATAAAAATAGATAATTTTTTTTTCGTTTGTGAATTTAAATACAGTGGAATCCTAGTGTCTTAAACCTCTGATGTCTTAAAATATAATGTTTGTTTTGAAACATTCTTTGGCAGTATGAGCAATTGGGGTAAAATTACAGTATTTGACTGAGGAAGGGAAATGACTTTTGGTCCAAAGAATTGGAAGTTTTGAAAAATCGGGATTCCACTATACTGGTATCAGGCATTCAGTGGGAGGCTGAAGGTGGAGGGGCCAGGGCACAGTGGCGGTGCTAAGGGGTACTCATATGTAATAGTAATGGGGAGATGTGAAGACCTTTTGTGGGCCATTTCAGGCCTCGAAAAATATTTGAATTCCACCTTGCCTGTTCGGCAAGTAACTCTCAAATTTTGCTTGCCCGGGGCACTTCCC